GACAATTCATAAAATAATACTTTTTAAAAATCAAACGGTTTAGCCGCAAACTTCCGTGCCGTATAGCGTGAATAACCCTGTATAGGTACTATACGAGTATAACCAATTTCTTACCTTTCTGACTATATCGAAATTGTGGGTAAATTTAATCCACCTGTCTTCCTGATCTGTAATCCAATTATGGATTCTTTCTTCCATCTGCGAACGGACATTCTTGGTGGACTTTACATGCCATTTATGTCTTTTGTCATACGCGTCACAAGCCACGGTGTAAAGGGAATTGCAGGAATTAAGATTGTCCTTGCCATGAAGCCGTACTAAGAGTTTTGAAGCTTCTGGCAATTTATATTCAGATTCAGTGTCTAGGCGGTAAATCGCTGTAAATGTGAAAAAGTCTGAAAAAATGCATAAACTAGTTTAATTGTAATTCTTACGTTTAGGTAATTTGGACCTTTGTTTCTCAACCGCAGAGAATGCAGGAAGCTCATTTATAACGAATACTAGACCGACTAATCCGATGACAATAAAAAAAATATTTAGTTTTTTTCCCAGGAAATCGATCTCACATGCTCTATTCCGCCATGGCTCAGGATCAAACACAGGTACAGGTTGGTGAGTGTCCTCTGGGATTGAAATGTTGTAAATCCGTCCCTCTTCCATATGCTGTATTTCTTCTTCTGGCTCGCGATCATGAGCAGCTGGGCTTGGAGCATGCAGTTCATAAGGAGGTGGTTCCAAAAGTACTTCACGTTCACCTTGGCGACGGCCTCGACTGGCTCCTTGCTGTTGAGGGGAGCCAAGATGCGCTCTCTCTTGCTGCAAAGTCGGTGGAATCGCTTGTTGCTCTTCGTGACGGCCTGGAACGGATCCTTGCTGCTGAGGAGCGACAGGATTCACTCCCACCTGCTGGAAAGTCGGTGGAATCGCTTGATGCTCTTGCTGATTTTGCTGCTTTTCTCCGTTCTTCTGTGTCGCTAAAGTTTCTACAATGGCGTCCAGCTCTCGGCGACGGCGACATCGAATGTCTTCGTGCTGCGACGGAGGTGTCACTCCCTCCTGCAGGACAGCTTCTGGAACGGATTCCTGCTCTTGGTGACGGCGTGGAATGGCTCCTTGCTGCTGAGGAGTGAGAGGAGTCACTCTCTCCTGCTGAGGGGAGAGGGGAGTCGCTAGCTGTTCACGGGACGTTTGTGGGTCGACTTCCTGCGGTTGAGTAATATAAGGATTTGCTTCCTGCTCCTGAGGTGAGTAAGGAATTTCTACCTGCTGAGAGATGTCATGAATGGGTTCTTCCTTCTTAGGGGTGCAAGAAATTTCTTCCATGTTCTCAGAACTAGACGAAGAGCTGGATGATGATTGCTCGTCCATCGCTTGTAATTCCTTTTTTTTCTTTTTCTTATCCTTCATATCGTTTCCCATGTTGTTGCAGTTTGTGGCTGAACTGAAAAACGTTACACGCACATAAATTTAACACAACTGATCAAAAGTCATGTTCATTTTACCATTGATATTTATTTTGCGATGTATTCCACAAGAATTTTGTCTACATATTTTCCGGTTCAAATTGTTGCTTTTTTCAATCGTCAACCACTCCAAATCGACGTATTTCAAATATGTATATAAATATCTAAACGATAACATGAAATTATTGCTGTTTGAAGCAAGCCTTTTAATAGTAAATTTGCACGGGGTAGTCTAAATTGGTATTTTTTTGTTAGAAACCAACATAAATGCACTAAGAAGTCGCTAATGGAATTTAGTTGATTAAATTTATAACTGATGACAACAATAACGAGGAAAAAAGTAATTTAAATAATAAATTGCTGTTTTATTATTTTTTCCTGCTACTAATTCAAATAGGACACCGGCAATCTGTAAATCCATCGTATATTTTCCCAAAACAATTACATATATTTTTGAAAGTGGAAACGTTGCATGGCGAAAATAGTTAAAGTCATGGTAATATTTTTTGAAAATTAAAGTATTGAAGTACCTGATTAGAAAACTCTGGAAGAAAATATATGCATCTTTATGCATCCACACATGTATTCGATGAAACAGAGAAGCATTTTTTCTAAGACGGCCAGGGCAGGATTAACCTGTGGTAGGGCCCGGAGATACGATTCCTGCAGAGGCCTTTTTCTAAAAAGAAAGGTCCGATATCACCAACTTGTCGCCGTATATATTTTGAAAAGCCGCAATCCCTATGATGGCGTCCCGTCGTCGCTAGTGCAATTGAAATTTTCTGAAACCATGTTTTTATTTGATTTTATACTAGGTCTTACCGAGGTTGCACAGAGGTCGTTTTATTTTATTTAGGAAGTAATAATTCATTAAAAAAGGAAACAACAAAACCATTATCTTTGGCTTTATCTTTTATTTTAAAGATTTTAAGAAAGAGAGACATTCCATCTAATCAAATGCTTATGTCTTTTTTTATTTTATCGTATTAGGTTACTAAGTTTTTGGCCACCAAATTGACACCAATACTCAAATTGTGTTCTTACTTGAAATAGTCGCTATTCACTTTCTAAGATCGATTGATTATTGCGGTGTTTGTCATCCGTTTCGTGTAATTCAGATTTTTCTCTGTTAAAGAGTTGGGTAAGTACCTTACATCTTTGTATTATCGTTATTTTCTGATACTTGTAAAAGCCTTTAACGAAATAAAGAAAGTAGCATTACTGATAATTACTTATTGAAAAATAAAAAAAAATTGGTAAAGTAGCTGATTTCGATGTTCACGCATTTTGATATTGAAACATTTTTTTTTCGTTAGTACATTTTCAAAAGCTTTAATCGATATAAAATTTGTGTGCCAAGCGGTGCCTATATCGAAGAATTTGTTTTTTTTAGTAACGATGTCAATTCGGAAAAGCGATATGTTTGATCTTTGGTGTGGAGAAAACTTATTACAAGAAAAGAATGCTGCTGCTTTGATCTATGTTTTAAATAAGCTTAATTTAGAAGATAATAAAGATGACAGCAAAAGTGATTCAGTACAAGAAATGGTAAATAGTTTTACTAGTTCTGTTTCGAAAATGTAGAAAAACTGCAATCGCACTCGAAAGGTTTTCGAAAGAGCGATTCTGACTGGCTGGATAAAAATATTATTTTTTGGAAGACCAAAACAAACCTGGTCCAACCAGAGGCAGACTTTGCAAACTTTTTATGGATCTTGGGAGCAAGCGAAAGAAACAAAAGTTTATGCCGGTTTTGCAAAAGCAGATTCTTAAAGGGCTTTCAGATCCAGGAAACCCCTACAGAATCAAGAAAGCAATTTCAACGTCACCTTTGTAGCCAGTTAAAAACACTCCAGAAGAAGCACTTGCTTTATTTATTGATTCGTGCTTGACAAAAATATCCTACATTTTAATGCAAAAATGTGCTAAATAAAGAAACGCAAACATCTAAACAAGTTATAACGTTCTTTTTCAAGCAAAGGAAAATGCTATCCAGGCGCAGACTTTATTGTAATCACAGATACATCTGCAGATGGAAAACTGTAAGCACTTGTCAATCATACAATTCACAGAATTATTGAGAGTCATAAAGAAGTTTTCAATAATATTTTGCCAAGTATCAAAGATAAAAAAAATTGTTTTAAACATAAATGGGGATGCGACAGTAATGCAAGCCATTCTACCTATAAGCAGCAGTTCAGTGGTGCCGACCAGGAAAACTAATTTGTGAGAATAAAACGCCCAAATTAACAAAACAAGGGGTTGCCAATATTAAACAACAAATATCAGAAATAGAAGCAACTATTATTCAGAAATATCAGTTACAAATTTACCATACTTTCAAAAAGACCATGATAGATTGGAAGCTGTTCAGCGTACTGGGTGAGTCTTCAACACAGACATGTGGTATATGCGGTGCAACCCCTAAAGTTATGAATAACTTAAAAACAATATTAAATCTTACACCAAATGAAACTTTATATGACTATGGAATCTCAACACTTCATGCTTGGATAAGATGTTTAGAATGTCATCATTATCATGTCATCGTTATCACAATGTATAGGTACGCGTTGAAATAAAGAACCACTAACCCATGATGTACGAAAGCTATTCCAACAACCAAATTTAGCAGAAATAGCCGCCTCAGAACATCTCGACAGTGATAGTGATATATCCGATAGTGACGGCAGCGAACGATAGGGCGTCAAATGTTTTTTGTTCTTTAGAATAAGCATTTAAATTGTTTTTTAAAGAACTATCGTCTCTATAGTCTAAAGGACTATMTATATATTAGGCGAATTTATGTTTTGTTTTTATGTTGATATATGCGTTTTTATGTATAACACCCWGTACAAAATACCTTTATGTTGCAATGAAACTTTCATTTGTGTATTAGACGTGAAACATATTTAAACTAAATAAATTATACTAACTAAAAATAGTATATATCGGAGGCCCTATTTATTACCACCTAAAATAGTTAAAACGACCACTGTACGTCGTGAGGCTCGGGGCTGTTCCTCCAAATAATTATACTTGAGAAAAGCAAATAAATTAGTTTTACTTTTTAGATACCTTCATGCGCCAAATTTAAATTAACATTTAAAAAGTTATACAGGGTGAATTGTTTTCGATGACTAGTACAGGGATCTTCGGAACTAGAGTAGTTACGAAGAAGGTCAAATGGACAAAGAATTGTAGTTTTGAATGCTCTACTCCAAACAATCTTATTTTTCTAAAATTTGACAGCTGTCAAGAGATATTTGGGAAAAGATTATTTATGGTAAAATTTGAATTACTCCTAGTTCGGTTAATATTAATTTGACAAAAAAACATTAAACAGACAACTTGCAAGAAATTGAATTCCGAACAAAATGACATAAGACATTTCTCCAAAATAACTGTCATTTTTAATATTGGACACAAATTTGAGTATTTTTAAATGTCAACCATACTTGATTATTGCTTTACCGAATAGAGAGAACATTTTGTTACGATTTCCTCGATATATCAAATCGTTAAGTTTGTCTGCAAACAATTTATACTTTTTCAATTTCGGACAATTTTAGACCATATTAGAACATTTTAGTAGTTTATGCTTTTATTTTCTTTTAATTTATGAAGTTGAGGATGCTCACAGGGCTATCAAATGTGCATTTAATGAGCATTGATACTGAGCGTTTTATTTACTGTAATTTAGAGGCCCTGGTGATTACTTAATAGTCGAAAGCGCGAGGCCAAATGTATATTTGAAGGCTTGAAAAAGACCGAAAAGTTACACATTTCAATCCAAAAGACCGATTCTTTGGTGACAATAACAATTTCCATAAAACTAGTGGGCAATGCAATATTTTAAAGATTTTTCATTGTTTAGTTTGCTTAACGCATTGACAGGAGATCTTGAAGTCATTAAATCAAACCACTCCTCACAGGCTTCAATAAACCAAGCTGTTGTTAAATACTCTGGTTTAATCTGATTGATATTGTCTAAGGATCGGCCCTTAAAAGTAACAAAATTCCGACGTAATTAACTGAACAATACACCAGCTTACAGAAAAATAATATTTTATTATCTACTAGCTATTAATATTTCATTGCTCACACACTAGTTCAACTGTTCAGTGTGATAAATTCATTATGCGAACAGAAATATAATATTGTCCAAAGGTCGGCACTGAATGTAAAGATTATACTAACTCATTTAGTCTAAACGCAGATATGATACCCTATAAAAGTCAGCTAGGGTCAGTAAGGGCGATATAATTCAAGTTAAAGGTGCATGACTGCATGGTAAATAAAATCACTTTTGCCTCAAAATGGCGATGCTGGTCACGTGGAGTTCTTAACCAATAGAAAAGTGGACTAACCATTGTCTCCAGTGTGATAACTAAGTCACTATAGCGCACTTTCGTACAGCTCCAGCTGGGCAGGCGGTGATTTCATGCCCCCCGGCCCGTCGGGAGCATTTAAAGTCTCTGTGGCAGTTCCCGGAGACATGCTCATGGCACCGCCGACACTGCGTCAGAGTCCTCCGGTTCTTGCGGGTTTTCCACAAGATCGTGACACTGCGCACCACCTTGACCTCTCCGTTTAGCTTGTGGTGGGTGCCTTTATCATTAGTGACGACGAGGAAGAGCGGCCTGAACAGTGTCTTCATTTTGAAGACACTCCTCACCTCCAGCCCTTTCTCTGCCAGATCCTACTTTATGGCAGTCGGTTCGACATTCCCTTCCAGCCCCCTAAAGACGAAAGTGTGGTATTGGCTCTTATCCTCTTCCAGGGACTGCTTTTCACCGCCGCCCAGTCCAGCATGCTGCTGCAATACACGATTAGCGAAGCCTTTGTGTACTTCAGAGTGAAAGGCTGACTGGTGATAGTTTTGAGGCTTCCCATCAGCATTGTGTGATTGCTGGATTTTCCAGCGATCACAATTGGCGGCTGCTTTTCTGCCTTTTTGTGGTTATTTGCAGTTCTTGCAGGATTTCTAACATTATCTTCCCTTTCTTCGTTGGAGTTGGGAAGTATTGGAAGCTCATCTACGATTAAGATAGACGTAAACCAGTTTTTCAGCGTCGTGGGGGCGTTTGGGTCAGCAATCAGCGACCTCCACGAGATAGTTTTTCGTCGAGTCGGTTGTGATGTTGTTGTTGTCGTTGTTAATTTTGTTTTGTCGCTGGCTGATTTTTTGGAGCCGCGGTTGGTGACGCTGATGGGGTTGGATCCGACTTCGGCGCCCTACCCCTTTTCTTGGTCTTGGACCTAAGGGAAGTACCCGTCTTGGAAGGCTTGGTCGGAGTCCGAGCTGAGAGGTACTCGGGTTCATGGTACTTATCGAGGAAACTAGGTAATTGCCCGATACGGAATGCTGATTATCCTTATCAAGGTCGAAAATGTGTGTAAATTGTTTGAATTGTTGTATATAAATGATCGAAAATAGGGAAATAAACATAATTCGCGGAATGCACTAGAGCCCTGCACGAAAGCGCGGCATATCGGTTCACTCAAGAGACTCATACAACCCATGTTGAGTTCATGTCCTTCTACGAAAGAGATCAAGTAATTTTTCAAATTAATTTATTTCTCAACTAATTGGAATTTTGTCTTACAGCTTGAGCCTAAGTGTGTCGCAGGATACCCTCTAGTTGATAGTTCTTGATTACTTTTTGATAAATAATTCGTGCTTATTGCGAAATAGGAGCACTATTTATCAATCTGTAATAAATGACGTGAGGAAATTTTGTCTTTTTTAAAGACAAACATTTTTGAGGCGAAATACCCAAAAAGAAGTTTGTAAAAAAATGAATCCGCCTAAACAATATAGAACTTATCTACAAATTAAATAGATTGGTTGAAGATCTATTGAATAAGGGTTTTAAAAAGCAATAAGTTCTATAAAACGTAAAGTAAAGGAAAAAAAGTATTAATTAACGCCTTATTCTAAATAGCGAATAACCTCTCACCTAATTTGATTCAATGGAGGAGACGTAGGAAATATTGAACTGATTTTCACTATCTATTCTCGATAATTATGGTGCTCTCAGAAAGACAACGAATTGCAATTTGAATATTGGTTTGCGGAGATAAACTATAAATTCAAAAATATGTTACTTTTTCAGGGTTATAAAAAAACACAAAATATTCAGATGGAGACGAAAGTTTTAATTCAATATAAAGATTACACTTTGCCATTATACGTGAAAAACAATATCATTTAAATGTTCTCCACGGGACCTCCTACACGATTCAAGCTTTTTGAGGCAATTGTGAATGACTTTTCGGCACATTACCGGTAATATATTGGTCACAACTTCACGGATATTGGCTTTCAGTTGCTCAAGAGTTTGAGGATTGTTGGCATAAACACGATCTTTCCCGTAACCCGACAAAAATAAATCTAACGGTGTTGTCGAATATCGATCAATCTCGAAAATTTATCTTGCAATAGAGCTCTAACTATCAGTGGTGAGTGGCTCGTTGCCCCATCCTGCTGGAACCACATGTCTTTCAGATCATAATCTTTTTGTCTCCAAAAATAATCAGTTAACATGCTTCCATAGCGATCAGAACTGACTGTTATGGCTCTTCCTTGATCGTTTTCCAGAAAATACGGGCCAATAACATCACCGGACCTTAAAGGCCGGGACACATCTATACGATCCGACTCCGATCAGAGAACCTTCCGTCGATGACCAAATAATCGGATCGGTGCGTGATCGGAAAGGGGAAGCTACACATGTCATACACGTTTCAGTTTCCGTTTCGATTTTTGGACGAGTGCAAAATCACAGATTATCAAACTATTCCTAAGACTAAGTTCAAATGTATTACTTGGCTTTACCGTTTTTCATATAGACACTCGGATGGTTTATTTTGAATATCGAAAACTGAAAGCCGAACTAGATATAAGACTTTTCTTTTATGTTTTTAGGCTCTTTTAGGAAACTATAGCTTGCCGAATTAAGCCAAACTAACATGATATTTAAAAATGCTTTAACGTGACAAAAAGACTAGTAGCAAACTAATTGTGCGATTATATAAAAGATAATCAGATTAATAGGGATTTGTTTTCCACTCGTATTTCCGGTCCATATGTTAGTTATTAACAATTTATTGCCAAAAATTCAATGCGATTCGATTTTTGTCTGTTTTTTTATAATATTATATAATAATGGAGTAATCGGAATGCCCAACGAGATGATTTGTAGAGAATAAAAATGTCTACAAAATGCGGGGTTTAATTAAAATAGTAAAACCTGAAGTAGTAAATAAATTTCCATGAACAGTTTACCATGTACACTTTAGTAGTTATTTTTCCAATATTCCTTGCCAGAGTCCTTACATACGTGCTTGCTGTGTAAACAGTAATATAAATTAATACTTGCCACGAATGATCTAATCGTAGTAAAATTCTGTAAGCCCAATCAAAATATTTAAATATCTACAGCTTACTGTAGATATTGCCCATTAAAAATCAAATGTATCACTGACGCAACCTAAAGTGCGGACCGTTTTTCTTTCCGACAATCGGATAGCAAATACCCATCGAATAGCCAGCAAAATCGGAACATGATCGGTTACAAAAACGGAGACGGATCCGGCAGGTAGCGGAAAGATGTGAACTACGGCGTTGAAAGTCCAGTACCATTTTGCTCTCAGATCTTCGTCCGATTGTATGATCGGAGTCGGATCAGATAGATGTGACTTGTCTTTATCTATGGATGTGACCCGGCCTTAATGCACACCATACGGTCACCTTTTCAGGACGCAAAGGCCTTTCTGCAATCACCTGATGATTTTGAGAGCCCCATATACGGCTGTTCTGTCCATTCACGTAACCACCAAGCGGAAAATGAGCCTCATCGCTGAAGAAAGTTTGATTCGAAAAATCATCATCAACGGCTTGTTGTTCAATCACCCAATTTGGGATATAGGAGGCTTAAGTTCTTGAGTGAGTTGGACGTTGTACGGAGGAGCTTCAAATCCAATTGCAAAATTGCAAAAAATGAATTTCATTAAAACTCGCTGCGAATTTATTCTAATATAAAACTCATATTTTGATAAAGCAACCGAGTTTCTCCGCTAAATATACTTGAGTGTCTTGGTATAAAAACTAAATCAAGGGCTATGATATTAACCTGTTATTTGTCGTTAAAAATAAAATTTTGAGGAACGCAATTCGGACGAAAACACTTCCAAAATACAACCGACTTAAAGTTTGGGTTAGTTTGAGTCGATCAGTTCATAATTATAAAACACTTGATAAATAATAAATCTCCCGATGTAAAATATATGCAAAAATGTAGTTCTGGTGAAGATCTTTTACCAACAATGGCAAAGGGGTCAGACATATTTTCTCAATAAAAGTTAGGGAAGATCGCTTTCTCTTGAGCCAAAAAATGACGCAGGACCTTTTGACCATGTGCTTTCGAGACACCTTGTATGTAATGCCTGGATAATGTAAATATTTTATAGTTGTAATTCCGTGACTTAATTTGTGTTGATATACTTTACAACGACCACGGCTACTATACATATGCATGAGTAGTAGTAGTAGTAGTAGTGGATGGGTTTAGTTGGAGTTGGCACATGTAGAAAGAAGAACACTATTGTTTGATAGTAATAGGTATATTAGACTAAGACGAAACAAATAATTACTAGGCAGAACTAAGCCCGTGGAGTGCAGATACAAAATTATAAAACTGACAACATAGTATAGTTTACGTTGTTTATGAAACAAATAAAAAATGTATACATCTCATGCCGCTTTGCTTACCCATTTGTATGGGACGATAAAGTAGACAGTTTCAATAAAACATAAATGGGTAAAAATAAGCATTACGCCATAGTAGTCTGATGTTCGTGTTAGCAACATCCTGCATGTTGTACGGTGTTCACGACCCTTACCATATAAATAATTTACACTTAGACCTTTAATGGATACTCCATTTCTGTAAAGGTTTAACTAAACATGTTATTTATAATTCGATTACTTGTTACAACTGCAACTGCTTTACTCTTTGGAGTGGCGACTACTCAGAAATTTGCCTTCGGAGCGCCGTTTGGAAGTTTTACAAGTGAGTCCCCGTTCGAATGCCATCATAACCAAGTAGAAATATCTTCATCCTCATCATCCTCATCATCCTTATCATCATCATCATCATCATCATCATCATCCAGATATTGATGTATCATTCTTAGTGAGGATAGCGCCTCGTCCTCTTGCGGGGTGGGTTCAGTAAAGCTCGTAGATGGACGGCTTTGTGATGTTCCGCTTTCGTGGAGTTGTTCTTCTACCTCCACGGCCTCAACATGCTGATCAGAAGGTGTAGGATGCTGATCGGAAGATATAGAATGCGGATCGGAAGGTGTAGGATCAACTCTGCATTCTGGACAATATTCTAGAATTCCTACGGGACATCCGTATTGGTGATCACATGTGATTCTTACATACGCCATACTATCAGAATCAGAAGATCGCGAAGATGACGGAATTTCAGAAATATTTTGAGGTTCCAATGGCTCTGATGAAGCGTGCTGTTGAGACTTGTGGCAGTAAGGACAACAATCAAGCGTTGGAACTATACAGAGGGGGTGATGTTGTATAGTTTGGGGCCCTACCACACTGCGATACCCAGTAGATTCTGAAGGTGACAATCTATCTGGCGAAACAGAGCTTGCCCTTGTTAAACGCTCAGGATCCGAAGACGCATTTAGAAGTAATTCCCTGGATAATCCCCACATGATGTTTCTCCCTACAGCACGATCATAACATCTGTCATTATACGCCGATCTTGGATGATTTGAACCCCGACTCGTTGAAGCAGTGCAGCAGAGATGGCAATCTTGTTGGGATTGAATTTCTAGGTGGGGCTGCTGGCCCATAGAATGTTGTGGCTCACTCACAGGGTCAGTAGGTTGTGAAGGACCTGCAATACCTTGTGATGTTGACTGCAAACTCGACAGAGGTTTCGGAAGACCAGGACAACCTGTTTGTGTTTTTAGACTGTCACCTTTCTTTCTTCTTATTGGAGTGGCACGCTTAAAAGGCTTCAAACTATCAGGTGAGTCTATTTCCATAATAGGCGGACTGTCAGAACGAGATGGGAGGCACTTATCAAAAAGAATTAATGGACAGGAGGCGTCCTGGTGGTGCACGGAATCTGTTATTGCAGCCGATTCTGAAGTTTTTGGAGGATCTGGTGATATCGACCGTAGGCCCGTTAACTCTTCCAGAGCATCGGGGTTATGTTTTAAAACTTCTCTGCAATAGGCTTTCTTGGCTTTTTTTATACTGACAGGATCCCAGCTTTTTAGATTTTCGGGCAGAGGGATCAGATTTTCGACTGATTGGCTAATCGGGGGATCAGGCCAGTTATGTATTAGTTCTATAGGACAGAATGGCCCATGTCGCATTTTCAGTAGCCCGCGACTTGGGGGACTATTTGGTGACATTGACTGTATGCTTCTTACATACCGACGAGCAGCAGGGCAGGTTGCTAGTACTCGTTTGCAGAAGTTTGTGACTAAGTTATCCACAGTGATCGCATCAAAATTGCGAAGTCTATGCGGCAAAATTGGATAGCTGACTCGCTGACGTGTTGCAGGCAGTGGACAGAAATTACAACGCAATTTATCTTGCACAGGCTCGCGCTGACCAGAAGTTGATGCTGCTTGTTGGGATGTTGAAGGCTGTGGCTGGAGTCTACGTTTACCTCCTACAATAATAATATATTTAACCTAATAAACGAAACTTGCAAGAAGAAATGGTCGAATAGATGGATATTCTGAGAGCTCACCTAATGAAACGCTAGGCGCAGGGGGCTCTTCGACATGTCGGCGCTCATCTATAGCGGCAAGACGCCTTGGAACTTGAGCTTGTACATGCCCTGACTCAGGGTTCCCGCCTGTAAGAAAGAACCTTGAATATGTTTTATCTCGTTTGCGGGTCTAATTAATAAATTTGCATTATTTTTGGTTGTGGAATTTCGTTGAATCAATCTGTATTCTTACTAAACAAAAGCAATTTTATTTGGCGGGAGAAAAAATTGGTGTGATTTAGATACAACTGTAAATATATTTTTAAGTGAAACGGAAAGCTATTTCTTTATTTTTATGGACAGTGTATCCTATTTACGAAATTTTCAAGGTATCTTCGTGTTCGGTATATTCTGATGTATCTGCTCTTTTAGTGGGACATTTAAAACTGTAAAATCAAAATGTCTGCTCGCTTAATATAAATGGGGAATAGTAAAAATTATAACAATTTCAAAATTACTAGTCTTCCTATCAATCATTATAAAAAATATTTGAACATAACATTTTTCTGTATCTTTTTAATAATCAAAATATAGCGTCATTTTGTGAGAGACAATTTTTTGATTTTCTCCCGAACCTCTTAAGAGGCCTACATTCGTAGTACATCTCCATTACACCATGTTAAGTTTGATTAACAAGAGCACATGAAACGCTATCAAAGTGTTGAAACTGGCAAACCTTCTACAGGGTGTCTTATTTTCGACACATTTTTAGGGTATCTCGGTATTTGCTATTGCTATCAGAAAAGTAGTATAGGTGTCGGTGCTCTTTTTAGGTCAAACTTAAAATGGTAGACTGTTGAGCCCTCAACAGTATATGGGTGGCGTTTTCGTTTATTTCCTACAGTAATAAAAACATTTCGATTAGCAAACGAATAAAAAAAAGAAATGGTCAATAGATGGCTATTCTAAGCTTTCACCTGTTGAATCTATAGGCCGCCATTCTAAGGTGCGATTGCACTGCGGTCTGAACTGAGTCCCTTGGACCTGGATGTGCTGATGAACAGGCTGCTGCCTTACAGCCTCAGCTTGAAAATGCCTGATATTAGCGCTACTATCTGCAAGAAAAAACCTTGAATACTTCGTATCTCGCTTGCGGGTCTAATTTCTATGAAAGTTTAGCAATATTTTTGTCGTAAAATGTTGTGGAATTAGCTGTTCAATCATGCTGTATATTTACAAAGAAGCAATTTTATACGGCGTGAGGAAAAATGGATTTCATTCTCCTAAATGAGCTGTATGAAGTGTCTTTATGGGAACTTTATGGGAACAACTGTACCTAAATATCTTCTGAAGTGATGCGACGGCCTGTTTCTTCAATTTTTTGGAACAGTGCATTCTATTTTCGAAAATTTCAAGGTATCTCCGTAATTGTGTCATGTGCTCTTTTAGACACACTTAAAATGTTAACATAAAGTTTCCTGCTCGCTTAAGAGAAACGGGGAAAGTTAAAAAAATATCAAGGTCAAAATTACTAGTAAGCAGACTAGTCAACAGTCATTATAAGAGAGAAAGAGAGCAATCTTTGTAGCATTTTTTTTAACGTTTTCACTATCCTTTTTAATTATCAAAATATAGAGTTATTTTGAAAGTGGCAACTTGTTGATTTTCTCCCGAATCTGTTAAGGGAGCCAAAGCCGTTTTCCAATTCCATTGTATCATATTAAATTCGACCCAAAAGGAGCACATGATACCCTATAACAGTATATTACGTAATAACAGTTGCATGGAGCACTTTACATACGAATAGAAAAGTTGCTCATAATACCACGAAGTGGCGAGTGCGTAATTGCTCTACAACTCGAATCAGCGATGTGATCGTTTCCGTTCGATAAGGCGATAGCCAAACCGAGACAGTATACAGACTGGAACATTGAAAATATGCAACGACTGCTATATATAAAGGTGATTCAAAATTGGCGTTATTCCTTTTAAGGGGGTGATAAAGGCTCACTTGGGGAGTACGAGAAAAATATAGAAATTTTTTAGACCAAAATTTCGAGAAGATATTAACAGTTGAAGATCGAATTTCAACTTTGTTATTAAGCAATATTTTGAAATTGTTCCTTGCTTAATTGGTAGTCTATTTGAATACTTAAGCATTCAAAAAGAAAAACGATCTTTGCTTCAAATTTCGAAAATTTTTGATTTCAAAAAAGTTCTTTTCTACAATTTTTTGATAAAAAGTCACAGAGGCAATGATGTTTTTTGTCATTAATAGTTAGTTACAGTTATTAACAATAATTTGTCAAACTGTGACTTTCTTCGAATTTCCTTCCACGAATTTGCGGATGTGCGATTAGTTCAGGGGAAATGCTACAGTAACATAGTAGAAGCTGAAAGAACTCACACCAACAAAGGGTGAGGAGAGTGGTTCCAGGAAGATAATGGACGACAATCCATTTTCGGGTTCCAGGTACACATGAACAAGTATTGGACATAATCGAATCAGGGCCTTCCTTAGTATTCAGAGCACAATAACTGACACTTTCCCAAGCACCAAATAAATACCGAGGAAGGGCTACGTTCCTACCACATTTGTACGATACACACAACATTAACCATTTAAATGTTTGGTGTTGTATGGTTGACTTTTAAACACCGATATTCGAGGTTATGAGAACAGGTTGACATTTCGTCAACAAATCTTGTTGAATTTACCGTTTATCCTTGTCTATTTTATTGTGAGTCTGTATAATTCCATGGTTACCGGAGTTTTAAATAATTACGAAGCAACAGGTATTTGAGCAATGTTAATTAGGCAGATTACCTTGAAAAACATTGCTGCCGTATTTCTGATATAGTTT